AATGAATACAGGCCTACAATGGTTTTGATTTAATTTTGAGTGTTGAATTAACAATTCTAAAAGCAAGAAAAAAACCTCGCGCAACTAGAGTGCTGTAAAACATAACATGCATTATATAATACGAGATGTTTCTCGTTCAAAAAATACGACTTTTTATATTTTGGCAATCTGCAACCTGTGCTAACAGTTGAACGTGCGAGGCTTAAAATCTGAAACAACGCACTGATTGAACCTTAACTACTCATATTTGCCGCAAATCTACTCAAACTCTTTTACAAATGTGGCACTAAACAAGCTTTTTGGCTTTACAAACATTATTAGAAAAAAAAACCTGTGTTTTCGAGCCACTCTCCACACTGACCATTGTTCGGCCGAGAGCTGTAGCCACAGGATATATTGAGAAAAAACTGCCAAGCAGTGTTGCAAAGCCCAGCGCATAAAGCTCCTGAAATGATTGCAAAAAATGCGGCAAAGTGCTTTATTTGTTAACCCAGAATAAATTAATATGGAGAAAATTTAAACATTTATCCCTGTAAAAATTCCGGCCTAAAATGTGGTCCCTGTTCGAGTTTTGATTCAAGCAAAGCACGCTCTCTTTTTGTTACCATTGCGCCTTTATCAGTCTTAACTGTCCATGGTTCGAGTCGCAGTGTTAAGACATATATGACTTAATGAGCCGAAACGTCTTATCTCGCTCTCACCTCCTCTAATCAACACTACTACTTTTTCCTGAACTCCATTACACTTTGCCTTCTGCACTTTCAAGATCAACCTGGATACTGCAATCTGTTTAAAAGTATATTGACTGATCCTGCGCGCAAAAGCGAAGATCGAAAATAGTTTAATGTCACACTTTTTTGCCAAATTACTAGATCAGTTATTTGAAGAATGTGTGCTAACCTGGCCCGAATCAACAACATATTTCATTCGCTTAGCCAACAGTTTAGCCATCGATATGTGAACCGCAATAACAACGGCAGCAATGCCGGAAGCATTTAGAAGGCAATCACCGATTATATCAAAACGTGGCGCTCGAGGTTTCGGCAAACTGCAAACATTTAACCCTGGCAAAAATGTCCGCTTTCTGCATGTAAATAATCATTAACCAAAAGTAATCCAGGCAGTAACGCACAAGGTCGTGCGTTTTCGCGAATCTGTAGTAGATGGTTAACAGGATGAATGGTTTCTGCTTTACAGTTTAACATGTGCATTCATGTTTTTTTGCGTTTTGGCCTTTTACTGCATGCGGCAGGAGGAAAAAGCGTCGGCTGGACGGTGGTGCTGTGTTATGGGGCTGTGTCAAATCTTAGTCATCAGCACGCATAATTACGAAAATTATACATTCAGAGAAATGAATAATTTCCGGCGACCGTTATTTTACTGAAATCGAAAGTTGGTCAATGAACAAGATGTCCAGAGCGTAGGATGACGAAATTCGAGCTGGAAAGTTTTTTTGTCAGAAATTTTGATGTGTTTATAAGTGAAACATAGGCGTAATTAGGAACTGAATTTAAAGCCTTTGAATGGCATATGCACAGAGAACACCCTCCTAAAATTTGAGTTTCTTAGCCTTTCTTGTTCCTGTATTCGTCTTCTTTCAACCAAAACTTTCACGTGTTCCTAGGTGAGAACCAAGTCTAATTAGAGACTGAGTTTGAAATTTTTAGACTGCACGTGAACAGAGAACATCCCTGCAAAATTTCAACTTGCCAGCTTACCTGGTTCCTGTGTTAGCGTCATCCCCTCCCCCCCAAAACTTTCAAGAGCTCTTACATTCGCCTTGATCTTTCGAAATTTACCCCTTTATTTTCACTTAGGTGGGCTCTGGCAACTAAAGAAATCTGGCAGGCCAGTACATGGACGAGGATAAGCAGAAATAAGATTGGTGAATTCATAGTAAGGTGCACAAAAGCTCAATGACAGCAAATCTGTTTGATGATTCAGAATCAAAATGCAAAAAAAGTCTCTTACCCAGCGGGAATATTTCCGACAACTGGAACATTGTGAGAGGCACCGAGATTCAGGATGAATGAAACAGTTGTTGATATGATAATCTATAAAATATAAAAAAAATTGGCCAACGCACGGGCTGCCCGTGCGAAGATGCGTTTTTTGCAGAGTTCCCCGC